TCACTAATTCCCTTTGTAATCATTACATCCTTACATCTATAGATTTCTCCCCAGTCTCAGTCTTTCAAACTGTACAGGTACTGACTGCTCCCAAGATACATGAGCTTTCTATAAAATGTTATAGAGAATAGTTAAAACAGTCATCTTTTAGCTACAACTGAGAACCTAGGACACAGTCATATAGAACCCACATCTATGTTTATAATCACAGTAACACACTAACACTTTGGGCACAGATAATTCATGAGAAATGAATAATGCTAGACTTAACATACAAGTTACCCCACTGAAGAATACATGATCTTTATTTCCAAATATCAAATTTGGGTAGAAAACTCTGATAAAAGAATTGTGTGCTTCTGGATTATTAGTACAATTGTTAAGCCAAACTCAAGAAATAATTGTTCTATACCATATCCATATTGTAAGCGATTTGTAAAATATATCAGGTCATACTGTCAGAAAAATTGAATTGCTAGTTTTATAGTTTTAATTTATAAAATTGACCTGTCATGTAAAGGTACAAGATCCCAATAATGAATGTAACTGTACTGCATACCTAAAATGCACCAATAAACTCAATGAGAAAATAAAAATTTATAAAATTGATGTTGCTGAAAGCTAGAAACACACATGAAATGCTACAGTTAAAAAAAAAAAAAGTTGAACAACAAAACCAAGCTACTTGGAAGTTCCCTAAACACACTTTACATTCAGAACCACTGCAATGTTCTTTATCTACAGAGTATCTCCAATTACAATTTTTTAGAAACAATTATCTTGCCTCTACTCTCTATTACCTTAATATGTTGAGTCATAACCCTAAAACCTTAACATCTCTTTGAAAAGTAAAGCTTACATAAACACCTAAACAGTATTTAGCTTTTGAAGCAAGTTTCTGCTGTTTCATTTACACAGAGTGACACCTCTAGAACTGTGCTGTGTGATATGCTAGTCACTAGGTACATGTGGCTATTTTTATTAAAGAAAATGAAAAACTGAGCTATTCAATCACATTAATTATAATTAAAGTACTGATCAGCCACACATAGCTATCATAACAGAACATTCTATTTGCTATGCTGCATTATAACTTCTTCCTTGAGAAAGATGCCTGACTTCTAATATCAAATGAGTTGATGACTTCAAGTCTGTAGTTTTCTTCTTTTCCATTAACCTAATGTAAGAGCTTCAATAACTGACATAATATTCCAACTCTCAGTTGGAAAAATGGGAGTTGAAATAATTATAGCAGTGGCAATACATTCAATAAAGCATAATGAAATACAATTAAAAATGGAATAAACTTTCAGGGTAAGGTTAAGTGGGAGACAAGCAGAACTACATACTGCAAAACAATAGCAGATATTAATCAAAATAAGTCAATGAGATTGCACCCTATCCACTCATCCCATATTTAATAATCACTTTGTGAAGATCTTTAGAAAGTATCTTCCCAAGTTCAGGGATTTAGCTCAGTGGAGCTGTGCCTGCCTCACAAGCACAAAGTCCTGAGTTCAATTCCGGTACCATTAAAAAAAAAAAAA